CACCACACACACACGTACATGGCTTCAAATATGAGCGGAAATAAGCGAAACGGCGCCGATAAAGGATGATTCCGCGCTGCCTCCGGCATCGTCGTGAAGGGCGAGTCCAGCATTAGCCCCGCCAGCACTCCAGGCATGCCTTGGTCCAGCTCCACTGCGAGCGCGGTGGCGATAGCGGTGCCCAGGCTGTGCCCATACAGGTACAGCAGCGGCTGTGCGCGAGAAGGTCCCTGTTTCGAACCCATTCCCATGCCCACACTGGGGAGCACGGCCGTTTCTGACACGCCCAGCGAGGCGAGCATTGGCTCTGAGGCCTCCGCACCCACACCCTCACCAGGTAGATAACCCGTATACTTGGGGTTATACCGCCGCACTATCGCGTCCAAGTACCGCACCACCGCGCGCGAGTCCAGAGCCGTCCCGTGCTCCGAGGCGGAACCCTGGGAATCCGCGAACCCTCGGTAGTCGAAGGTGATGATGTGCGCATCCAGGTAGGTGGCCAGATGCTTAATCTTGCTCACGCGCATGGTCTGCCCGCGCGTGTTGGAGTTACCATGGAAGTAGACCACCACGCGGGGGGCGACGGCTAGAGTCTGGTCGAAGTATGTGTTGCGATCGAGGTCGTCCATCTGGTTTGCGGAGAGCACCTCCGCCCCAGGGGGCATCATGTGCCACCCCTTCAAGACCACCCCGTCCTCAGTGGTGATCTGGATGTTCTTTGCCTGTGGCAGGTCCATCTTGAGCAGATTGGTCAGGTCCTTGGAGTTCTTTACGAAGGTCGAGAAGACCAAGACCCCCTGAGCCTGTACGGAGAAGATGGCCGCGAGGCACAAGCCGAAGTACACCACTGCGAGCACCAGGAACATGCAAACTGCATTGCAAGGGCTCTGCCTCTTGAGACTGGTGGCAGTTTGCGTCGAGTTGTCTTTCACCACGGTTAGGGGCGTGCTTGAGCTGGCACTGCGCGAGCTCCTCCTGCTGGGCTTGACCGGGTCGGCGCTAGCGGGTTCGTTCGCGTGGACAGCGCCGCTGGAGGATGCATTTCCCATCCTTGCGCCGAGGAGAGTAAGAGTTTGACGCTCGCAATCGCACAGAATGAGCGCGCTTGATCGATGGCTCTGAACCCGAACCTCAAGACCTTGCCAAGAACTCCTCTTTCAAAAACCTTTTCACAAAAAAAAACGCGCGCTGTACCACTTAAACTGTCATAATAAACAACAAGCTTGAATAAAGAGCGCCGTGCTGAAGGAAACAGTTGTTGCCCTCTGGAGGAAGACCACCCTCCAAAGATGGTGAGGATGGTGATGCATCTGCTTTTACAGATCGAAGAAGAACGAGCCTGGTGCCGGATCTCCTTTTTTTACTCATCCTCGTCTCGGGCGTGCCAAGTGCTGGTAGTGCCCATTTCATCACCAGCATCTTGCGAAAGATGCCCCCAGCCTCCGGCTTCTCGGACTGGCTGGAGAGACAAAAGGCGGCCCAAGATGTCGAGGATAGCGCGCCTAGTATCGGCTATTTCGGCCAGATGTACAACGTCCAGGAGAACCTCACCAACCAGCTGCAGGGTCTGTCGGGATCTCTTCCCGAAGCTGGTCCTTTGAGCGCCTCGTTTCGCAACAGGGTCACCAACGCTGTGTACCTTCTAGCCGCTTCGGGGGCCTTTGCAGTGCTGGCTGTCTTCGTCGGATTGCCTACGCTACTCATCCGCCCCACAAAGTTTGTGCTTTGCATGACCCTGTCCACTTTGCTGGCAGCTTCCTCCGTTATCGTGATGCAGAAACCGTCAGTCTTCGTGGCGAATCTGATGAATGGGGGCTACGAGCAGTCGGCGCCTGTGGCGCTGCTGCTCGTGTCTGTGCTCTTCACCCTCTACGTCAGTATTTTCGTACACACTTACCTGGCAGTTGTCTTTGCGGGAGGTATCCAGCTGACCTGCCTGCTGTACTACCTAGCCTCTTTCGTGCCGGGGGGCAGTGCGGGGTTGAGGATCCTTCTGCAGACGACAGTCACTATCGTGTGGACAGCTTTGCGACCCCTACTGTTTTTAGTGAAGAAAGCGACAATCGCATGTCTGTCGAGGATATTCACATAGATATTAGCACTCTCTGCTGTCTGCTGTCACTGAATGTACGTATGTAAAAATCAGTATATAATAACTCGCAATCTAATCACCTGGGATAATTTAAAGAAGGCGCATGTTGTAATCCCCTAGGCTTATAACTATCTCACTATCTAAATCTCAACCTATGAGCCAGTGGTCCACGGTCTTATGAGTTACTGTACGTATGTAATGTATATAGCTAATAATACCTTCTCGTGCGGTAAAGTGCACCTGCTTCATTCTTACAAGATATCCAAATATTATAGAGCTACAAAGATTGCTCCTCTTGTTCTGCTGGGGGCTTCTTTCTTCGTATGGGAATGATGCCTGTGCTCCCTCCGATGCGCAAGTATATCTGGCAGATGTCTAGAGAATGGTCGAATACTGAACAGAGTAGCAAAAAGAGAGAGGCAAATTGAGTGGCATGAAGAGAGTGGCATAGAGAGAGTCGCGGTGAGCTATGCGCATGAACACTGCACACATCGACGACTTACTGTTCCAAAACTGTGCCCCGCTGCAGTACAGCCCCCGCGCAATGGCATCATCGATGGCGCAAAAGCTTTCCCTGAAAATAAATGAGAAAATGGAGAAAATGAGGAAGAATATACGTGACAATATAAGTGAGTGGGTTGGGTATCGAGCATGCGTACACACATACATGCATATATGGGCAAATTGTACCACTTCCACGCACAACTCACATATCAGCGGTGTCATTCACGACCACTCCGGAGCGCCCCCAATCTCCCGGATGAACGCTGTGGGTGAATACTCGCCTCCACTGCAGCAGCAATCGCTCGAGATTCCCGCCCACGCGGGCACGGGTCTCGCTCACACTGGGTTCCCCTGGGAATACGACCAACGCGGCGCTGCTGGCGAGAATTACCCTCGGCAGGCACAGGTACGCGTGGCTGATGGCGTTGCAGAGGAAGATGCACTCGGGCATCAGCAGTGTGCGCAGCTGCGCAGCCAGCCGATCTGCCACCAGCGTTAGCACCTTATTCGCCCTCTGTGCGAAGACCCCCCGACCCAACGCCCCGCCCTCCCCTGTCTGTATGTGACTGCCTAGGCGCAGGGCCACCTCTGACCACAGTATTGCCCAGCCCATTTCACCAGCCCCTCCGCCAGGGACGACGGTCAATTGTGATTTGTGAGTAAACCTCAAGGCCGGTGTGCTAGTGGGCGAGTATCCGAAGGTGGCAGAGGTGGCAGAGGAGGTGGAAGGGATACGAGAGGTAGAAGAGGTAGAAGAGGTAGCGTTCGCCACAGCAGCTGAGATGACCCGCAGGCACCGCTTCAGTATACGTGTGTACACGCCGCTGCTCATAGTGGACGCCGCATGAACAATCAGCTGCCCCGGCGCTTTTGGCTGGTCGCTCAGGGTTACTCCTCTGAGGATGCAGTACACCTCGCTGCCCCCCAGACCCCGGTAGTCCATTCGACTGAACCGCCCACTTATAGAGGTGCCACGCAGTACCTCTCCAACAAAGGAAAGCACAGGCACTCCGCAGCGCGCAGAGATGTACGTCAAGTATTCCTTAGGAACTTGATCGATCTGTCATTAGAGTGCACGAGAGGTTAGGTGTGCGTGTAGTACATGGAAACATTTAGCGTATTAGAGAAGATATTAGGCATGGCATTACCGTGTAGACTCCGCAGCGGGATAGAATGTTTTGCGCCTCGTCCTGCACAGTGTCTGTGCAGATAATGACGCTGATTCCTCGCCTCTGGAGCGCCTCTGCTGAGCGCTGGAGAGTAACAGACCCTACCAGGTTTTGCTCGCAAAGCGCATCAGTGGAGCTGACGCGGATGGTATGCTGGTAATCATACGACTGCGCAATGAGCGTCTCCGCACAGATGAATCTCACATCGCCCCCCAATGCGGAGTAGTCTCGACAGCGTCCTCGCAAGACTAGATCAGATGTAATCTCCAAGACTTCTTGTCCCGAGGAGGAGCGATCTTGCCGCAAAGACGCGTGCACGAGGGTGTCGAAAGTTGCGAGCCGTGACCTGCCTCTTTCACCCAGCTCGCTCAGTACATCTGCTTCACCAGCGTCTTCGAGCATCCAGCGTGCCTGCAACGGGAGAAATATGGCATTTACCACATTGCTGGTGACATACATAGATAGGTACGACACGTGCGCATTACCATGAGAGAGGCCACGTGCTCTGCAATAGCGGCATTCGTGGAGGGGTGCGCCGTGCTCCGACAAATACTGGATATCCACTTCTCCACAGACGACTCAACGTGCCAGAGGTTGCATTCGATCATGCAGAGTCTGATATCATCTCTGCTCTGCGCGCAGGCGGATCGCACCGCCTGCACCGCGTAGAGCAGCCGGGATCGCTTCCGCTGCCGAGTGCTCTCACTGCCGCCCGAATTGATCTCCGCCGACAGCTGGGCAGTGAAGCTGCGTGTTAATATGAGAGAGCTGTTCAGTCCGTCCCCCCATCGACTTGCAGCCTTCATCGACTCCTGGCACACGAAGCGTTCGAACCCGTCAGAAACGTCGTCGACGTAGTGCGGGAGCAGCAGCTGCGAGTCCTTGGCGATGATAGCTCCGCCCGACGCATTACAAACGATCCTGCTTCTGCCCAACGGGCCAAAGCATGAATCTAGGTCCATGCAAGAGATCTATAGTCAAAGAGAAGTTCGAGAAATTCCTATCGAGGATAACTTTTGCGGCACGGTCATCAACTCCATCGTCCGTTGGCTCCCACGTTCAGGTAAAAACGCTATCGTTGCGTACAAGAACAGCAATGGCGATGAAAGGAGTGTATAATAATGACAAGACTGGCTGCAACCCAATCCCAAACAGCTTGCAAGTAATCCTGGAGGTGATCCGTGAGAAGGGCACCAAACTTTCCTGAGTTTCGGTGAGAAAAACAAAAAAAGGATTGCGCTAGGGGGGGTTCGAACCCCCGACCACTGGCTCATAAGACCAGTGCTCTAACCACTGAGCTACAAGCACGACTACGACATGTCAAAAGCGCTTCACCAATGGTCAAAATGAAAAATATATAAAGAAGTTATTAGGTGCTTCTCAAAAGAGTATAATCTCAGCTGCCGGATATCCTGCGATAGGAATCTGTGAGCGGGGGCGTTCAGTGTTGCACGGTTCCTACAGACAGGGACCTCCTCATCAAAGCGTCAATCTGTGCAGCGCAGGCATTTGGTATCCACCTGCTCTCTGCGTGCCACGATCGCAGGTCTCCTTTTTTCAATAACTCTTATATTGGAAAAATGAACAGGTAATTGGGCAATGTGCTGGAGCGTATCTTTGCCCTTGCACGCGCTTCAATAATATCTAGATGGGAAACAGCCTGCTCTCTTGCTCTTGCTCTCCCTCGCCTTGTCATGCTTCACTAACGCTCCCCCCTCTATTTGCTGTATACTCAATTCAGAGACAAGAAGGGAACCGGTGCCGACTCCAAGTTCTTTACCAGTAAGGGTTCGAAGGGAGAGAACCATGAACTGAGAGAGGAGCTGCGCAGCCCGCAGCGCGACCGCAAGAGAGACGCCGTCAAGAAGGTATTTAGCACGTAACGACGCACCAGCTCTGCAACGAATGTCCCTTCACCACGTACCCTCCCCAATCCAGGTGATCGCCAACATGACCATCGGCAAGGACGTGTCCTCTCTGTTCGCCGACGTGATCAACTGCATCCAGACGGAAGACCTGGAGTTGAAGAAGCTGGTCTACCTGTACCTGATCAACTACGCCAAGAGCCAGCCCGACCTGGCGCTGCTGGCAGTAAACACCTTCGTCAAGGACGCTAACGATCCCGTAAGTGGCTCGCCTGGCCCATTTTACAGTGGTTGTATTCGTGTCTTTTTACGCTCTTGGAATCTGTCCTCCCATCTAACCTCCCATTACTCCCACCCCATCATCCCGAACAGAACCCGCTCATCCGCGCGCTGTCCATCCGCACCATGGGCTGCATCCGCGTGGACAAGATCACCGAATACCTGTGCGAGCCCCTCGCCAAGTGCCTCAAAGACGAAGACCCCTACGTGCGCAAGACCGCAGCAGTCTGCGTGGCCAAGCTGTACGACATCTCGCCCGAGCTGGTCGAGGACCGTGGCTTCGTTGACTGCCTGCGCGACCTCATCAGCGACGCCAACCCCACCGTGGTGGCCAACGCTGTCTCCGCGCTGTCGGAGATCGCCGAGGCTTCCAACAAAGATGTGATGATGGTGACGGCCAATGTGCTGCAGAAGCTCCTGGCTGCGCTGAACGAGTGCACTGAGTGGGGGCAGGTGTTCATCCTGGACTCTCTGTCTGCCTACGAGCCCCAGGACTCTAGAGAGGCGGAGGGCATCATCGAGCGCGTGATGCCGCGCCTGCAGCACAACAACTCGGCAGTGGTAATGTCCGCCGTGAAGGTCATCCTGCGCTACGTGGACGACGTCACCAACCAGGAGGTCGTGCGCAACGTCTCAAAAAAACTCGCACCCCCTTTGGTGACTTTGCTCAACGCCGAGCCCGAGATCCAGTTCGTAGCACTGAGAAACATCAGCCTTGTGGTGCTGAAGCAGCCGCGCATCCTGGAGCACGAGATCAAGGTTTTCTTCTGCAAGTACAACGACCCCATCTACGTTAAGATGGAGAAGCTGGAGATCATTATCCGTCTGGCCTCCGACCGCAACGTGGAGCAGGTGCTGCTGGAGCTAAAGGAGTACGCCACTGAGGTGGACGTGGAGTTCGTGAGACGCTCGGTGCGCGCCATCGGCCGCTGCGCGATCAAGCTGAGCGGGGCGACGGAGCGCTGCATCAACGTGCTGCTTGATCTGATCAAAACTAAGGTATCCTATGTGGTGCAGGAGGCGGTGGTGGTGATCAAGGATATCTTCCGCAAGTACCCCAACCGCTACGAGTCTGTTATCGGCACCCTGTGCGAGAACCTGGAGGATTTGGACGAGCCCGAGGCCAAGGCAAGTATGGTGTGGATCATTGGAGAGTACGCAGACCGCATCGACAACGCCGACGAGTTGCTAGAGAGCTTCCTGGAGACCTTCCAGGAGGAGACTGCTATGGTGCAACTGCAGCTGCTGACCGCCACCGTGAAGCTGTTCCTGAAGCAGCCCGACAACACGCAGGAGATGGTGCAGCGCGTGCTGAACCTCGCCACAGAGCACAGCGACAACCCCGACCTGCGCGATAGAGGATACGTCTACTGGCGCCTGCTCTCCTCGGACCCTGAGGCTGCGCGTGCAGTGGTGCTCAGCCAGAAGCCCGAGATCGGGGACGATACATCAGCTCTGGACCCCCTCTTGCTGGACGAGCTGATCGGCCAGATCGCCACCCTGTCCTCCGTTTACCACAAGCCCGCAGACTCCTTCGTGGTGAAGACTCTGCATGTGGTGGAGGAGGAGGAGGAAGACGAGGAGGAGGAGGAGGGCGTGGCAGGTGTGGCCTACGACTCCTCTGGCGCTGCCCAGACCCCCTACAGCTCCGGAGGCGGCAACCTCCTTGACCTGCTGGACGACGACGAGCCCGTCCCCGCGCCCGCCCCCACTGCCGCGGCTCCCAGCAGTGCCCTGAAGATCAAGCTGGTGGGCGCGGAGGCCGGGCACGGCGTCGCCATCATGGGCGCGATGCTGAAGAAGGGCGGCCAGATCGTCCTGGAAATGGACATCACCAACACCACCCCCACGCCGGTGTCAGGGCTCGCCATCCAGCTGAACAAAAACGTGCTCGGCCTGGCCCCCTCCAACCCTCAGTTGACCTTCGCCCCCGTTGCGAACGGCTCAACGTCCACCGCCGCGCTGGTGCTGGTGGCAACTCCGCAGATGCACAACCCTCAGGACGCGTCGGGCGGCATCCAGGCGGCGATAAAGAACGCCGCCACAGGCACTGTCTTCTACTTCACCCTCCCCATCGCTTTGGAGTCGTGCTTGGCGCCTGGCGCGGGGATGGAGGTGGGCGCTTTCGGGGGCGCGTGGAAGGGCATGGACGAGTCGATGGAGGTGTCAGCGCTGGCCAGCGACCTGCCCACGGTAGATATCGAGGCGGTGAAGGCCAAGCTGGGCGCGAAGGACATTGCTTTCGTGCTGAAGAGGGACCTCCCTGATGGGCAGCAGACGGCGGTGTATTTCTCTGCGAAGACTGTCACGAACTCAGCGCTGCTTGTGGAGCTGAAGTTCAAGGCGGGCATGAACGTGTGCAAGGTCACGGTCAAGAGCGCCAACAAGGCGCTGTCAGAGCTATGCAAGGTCGCCGTGGTGAAGCTTCTCACATAATACAGTACACATGACGACCCTGCTTAGAGAGAAGGAAATAGAACCCCAGCGCTCGTGCTCATTTTTAGTCTAATCACATTTTGGTATATATATAATTTTTATTTGCTGGCACCTCCCATATACGTAGGGAGATTGGTTCGAATACAGAAGTAAACGATTTCGAGATTGAGGGCACTGACATCCCCTGATACCCCCAAAGCGACTAAGATTCAGCGTGTTCATACCTCCGAGGGCACTAGGATTTAAGGTTGTGGGAGGCTGCCTCATTAAGTATTTATGATTACAATCCATTCGACATGCAGAAACGAAAATTGGGTAAGCTGCTGTTCGGGGTATAGGGGGGGGGGGAGGGGATTTCTAGCTGCCTTAGTCGATCTTGACGTTTCGGTATATCTGGTAGTGGAAGGTAAGTGTGAGAGGGAGAGGGAGAGGGAGAGGGTAGGGTAAGAGGGAGAGCAATAGTGGGGCATAGGGAAGCATAGATATATGTGTATACTCATAAGGAATATTTATGTGAGACACTATATACTATATACACACAAATATGTGTATATGCGTAATATGCATATATGCGTATATGCGCTCACCTTATGAACAAAAATATTTGCTCCTGCGACGCCCAGTGATCCGCACATGCAGAACATTGCAGTGCAAAAAAGGAACATGTATCCGAAGTAGTAGGAGACCTGCAGCAGCCCCGTCATCTGCGTCTTGTAGTAGAAGTAGAAAACGCTGTACATGAATACGTACAGGGAGGTGCTGCCTGCGGAGCCCATCGCCACCCACTGCCATTTGTAGTTCTCTATGTTGAGGATGAAGTAGACGGAGACGATGGTGGTGCAGACGGTGACCATCGAGAGGATGATGCAGACCAGCAGCATGAAGCCATAGACGTAGTAGAACTTGTACGACCTGTGGGGTAGAGAGGGGTAGAGAGGGTTAGAGAGAGGGTTAGAGGGGTAGAGAGGGTTGACAGCATTATTCTAGGGAACTATGCGCTAAGACCATGTGTGTATGTCGCTCACCAGAAGGCCGTGAAGATGAAGTACATCTCGATGAAGATGGAGCCGAAAGGAAGCACGCCCGATGCCAGCACCACCAACAGGGGGCTGCTGTACCAGGCCACGGCTGGCACAGGCCTGGGAATGCTGTTCACCCTGCAGGGGGGCTCGTACTTGCCTGAAGAAGAGACAAAGACGAAGGAGAGAAAACGAAAATGCGTTATAATATTTCTGGCCGGATTGCTATCCCAGATAAGGCCGGTATCCGATGCGAAACTTACCGATCCAGTGTCTGCCGAAGATAGTGCCGATGACTGCCAGCGGCAGTGCGACGCATGCCCAAATGGCGAGCATTTTGAAGATAACTGAGGCGGGGATGGCGCTAATGGTGTCGTAGTATATGGCCACATTGTTGAGCCCGAAGATGACGCCTGCTACGGTGGTGGGGAAGAGCAGGATGGTGTAGAGCATGGTCTTCTGCCACTGGGAGTTCAGCTCCGACCTGGCGGTGGTGAAGAAGCGGCGGTAGTAGGAGCCTGAGGCGTAGCCAGCGATGGCGGAGGAGAGCGCGAAGCAGATGATGAAGGTGGAGATCATCTCTCCTCGGTCTTCGTACATATTGCCGTGCAGCACGGGCCCCAGCATGGCGTACACGATGACCGCGAACACAAGCACCACCAACTGCCAGCCTGTGCCGTAGATGGCGCAGAATAATTCCAAGTGCTCA